GCAAGTTAATTTTGCCCTACTGTGAGATGTGTTGGTGGAAGAGTTTACAAGTACTCAGCAGAATCTTATCTAAAATGTCATCTTTATTGATCTTAAGGCTGACTGCACCAAATGCTGAGCCCTCACTGCTGAATTGTTTAAACAATGGTGTATTAGTATGCACATAAAAATACAGTCAATCAGTTCTAAAGATCTATAGGAGAGAAAATGCATTAACTTTTTAAAAAAATTCTAGATGGCAGCATCAGAAAATCGAATATCAAGTGCAGTGTCTTGATTCAGAGATTTTAAATCTGATAAACTGGTGCCACATCATTTATTTTCAAGGTTGAGGACTTAGTTTGCACGTATAGGTTTTCTATTATCTACAGTTAAAATGCATTAAATATGGATAATTAAACATTTATATTAATTGACTTTCGAAAGGTGAACTGGTGGGCTTATTTAGCCGAGCTGATCTAACCAAGGGGAGGGCAGCCAATATTGCTGCATTTGGTCCAGCTCCACTGGTTTTCTTCTGATATTGCTGTTAACCAATTTCAAAGTGGATGAGGCTGAAAGTTTCTAAACAGCTTATTACCTGGAAGGTAATTTTATTTCACTAGACATGGCTTTATTATGTGAAGAAGAGTAAAAATGTAATTTGAACCCCTGTCCAGATGCTCTTAGTCTGGAAGCAGAAAATGATTTTATTTGTTAATTTGTCCTTTTAGAGCTTCTGTAGCCAGTCTTTAAATAGAGCAATTTAGCATTTTGAGGAAAAACAAACTCTGCACTATCCAAGAATATAATTGAAAATTACCCCATACCCATGCACGATAATTACCTTTCAAAACATTTTCCAGTGCTTGACATCATAGTGGTAATTGCTTAATGATACTATAATTTCATTACGTAGGGATTACAATGGCAAAATGATGTAAGTTGGAGGCTTTAAAAATTAAGTTACAATGAAAACAAAACCTTTTATGTATGTTTAAAGCACTTGTTTCAATGTAAAATTATACATAATCTCACCCAATTTTTGTATGGATGTCATTGTAGGTACTTTTAAAATTCATCCATTTAAAACTTTGGCAATAAAAACTGCAAAACATCTCTTAGTCCACCTGGTTATAATGCATGAGGTTCCAGTTTTACAGTGATATGTATTGGAACAAATGCATTTATATAGCAGTTATTGCTCCAGTTTGCATGCATTGTGTAGCAAAACCTCTACTAATGAATTGGATCCACCTCGATCCCTTTGCAATTGGGCGATAAAGATCAATGGCCCATTACAATGCTTGTTTTCGTCTTGAAAGATTCTTGACTGGTTGTAAAATGTATTAATTTTTCTAACTTAATAGCACAAGCCTAAAAACTTATCTTTTTGGAAGGTACATGCACAGAACGCACTCATATAGCCTATAATTTTTATGTGTCAGAGGTCAGAGTTCCCCCAATGTGTTGATGGGGTAAAGACAAGAAATCAACTGGCAGATCCGTGAGAGAGTTTGACTCACAATCATTCACCTCCATAAATGTGATTTTAACATTATACCTATTGGAAAAATTAGTTTTTACTTTTTGAAACATACATGATTTTGGGTATAAGAACTGTTTTTATTTAAAGATGACTTCATCATAATGTCCTATTTAAAACTAGTTGGGGGCTATTGTTTCATTCAGATCCTTTATACAGATGCAGTATAAATGAACTGTATAAATGAACTTACCACTCTTGTGTCTAGCTCAGATATTCTACGTTTTCCAAGATGATGATTATAACAACATTTATTGAGTACTCACTGTGTGTGTGTATTATCTCACTTAAGAACTATGACACGTACTATTATTATCTTTTCTTTACATATGAGGACACTGAAGCTCACAGCAGGGAATTTTCCCAATATCCCACTGCTGCAATGTGGTAGAAATGGGATTTAAACCCAGGTCCTGTCTGACTCCATTGTCTAAATGTCATACTGCCTCTATGATGCTTCAAGCCGTATCAATACTTCTGAGTTACTAAAAAAGTTATATGTAGCCTATAGTTCATGATTTATTTTATTATTATTATCCTTAATAGTAATAGTAACTACCATTTATTGAACAATTACTATGTCCACTATGCTATGCATATTACCAGTGTCCAATTTAATCTTCCACAAAACCCTATGAAATAAGCATTATTATTCCCATTTTACAAACGAGGAAACCCAGGTCCATAGACTGCCAGCCTACAGTCTTGAGGGCAGTAAAAAGTGGAGCTGTCATTCACCCCTGCCTGTGTTGGGTTCTAGAGTCCATGGGTGCTCTTAGCCAGTCTGCAGTAGCAACTCCCAGTTTAACTCCTTTTGTTTCATGTGTGAATGTCACATCCACAAGTAGACTGTGCCCAGCTGAATCACATACAGGCACACAGTACATAATTATTGATAAACTGATTTTGTTCATTTCTCTGAAATAGCCCACATATTCAAGGGATGAAGGAGTGAATATCTGAAAGTACAGGAGGTATACACTCTCTTTTGATGTGCAGACATGACCTAAAGAGGTCATCTTTGATATGGAATGATCATTTGAAAAACTCTGTATCTGTCCTATTTAAAAGAAGGAGGACGGAGGCAGGACCTCAGGGACCACTTCTAAGGCAACAGAAGAAAATGAAGATTTCCTTCTCTGATTTTCTGTTCTTAATTAGAAATTGTGCAGGGTGCTCTATTAATCTGATGTGGTCATTAGCTAATTCCTGTCATACTTCAAGGATACAACCACTGTAACCAAGAGTCGCAGAGGCTTATCAAAGGCAAAGGACGGATCATTGGATCTGGTCTCCTCTTCTATGCGGGGTTCATCCACAAAATCCTGCACAAATGGTTGCCTCAGTCCCCACTTCACTCTCCCTGGAATACATGTTCCATTGGCAGGTCAGCTCTAATGCTTAGAAAATTCTTCCTCGCACTGAGCCAAAATATGGCTTCTCGTTACATCTTCCCATTAACCCTATTCTTCCTCCTGGAACCGCACAGGATCTTCTCAGCTTCTCACTCCTGTGCCACCCTTCATACACTTAGAACTAGAAGGCTTTTGCCACCTTCATCAAGCTTTCTCTTTTCTGGAGTTAATAACCCCATTTCTTTTGGGCTTATTGAGCTATTTGCCTCTCACAGGAACTGTCACGTTTGCCAATAGTTTCTGAAATATGAGAAATCAAATTTCTTTTGTTTCCAAACGTGATTTTTTAAGTTTTGTTTTACTGTTTACATTGAGTTGCTTACATAAGAACCCTTGGCACTGGAGCCATCTCAGACTAATGGCCTCCTGTTAATTTTTTTAACAGTATAATAGAGAGAAAACTGAACTGAGAGTCTGGAAAACCAAGTTCATCCCCAGTTCTGCCTCTGCCCCAACAGGCAACCTCAGATGAGCTATTTAACTTTGCAGTCCCTGGTTCCTTCATCCATAAAGTGGGTACAATAATTCCTGCCTACTTCACAGGGTCATGAGAGCCAGGTGAGCTACCACATGGGAAAGTACTTTCTAAGCCATCAAGGGCTCTCCCAGTCGAGGTATTAGTAAGCAAGGCAGACGTAATCATTCCTCTGGTAAACTCCACTCTTTAAGAACTGCTAGCCCTGCGCTCTACTCACAGGAGTCAGCTGATTTCACCTCTCCCCACTTCACTGCATACTCCTTGAGAACAAGGCCTATTCTTGTAATCATTATGTCCCTAACACCTCGCTCCATGCCTGGCTCCGAGAAGGATCATGTTAAATGGGTTTTGGATGGTTAGAAGGAGGATGGGCAGAAGAATGGCTGTGGTATGGCTTCGAACACCCCTTCAACATCCGGGCATCACTCCCTTGGACTTAACTCCAGTTCGTCAATGTCCCGTCAGTGCCCGTGCACAAACTTGGTCTGATTTTGGCTGAGTAAAGTGGAATCCTACCACCACTCCCTTAGACTGGGCAGTGACACTTAAGATCATGGTCTTTTATTCATGCCCACCATCCAGTTCCTTCTGAAGCTGACCCTGGTGAGCTCACAGCCCAAGGGCTCGGTTTCCTTTGCTCTTTACTAGTCTGTGCTAATGAAGAAAGATGGGTATTGTCCTAATCCCCCCTTCTCCTTCAGCCTTCTCTGATCCTCTTCTGCTTGGGGTCTTGACCTTCAGCCTCTGAACTCCAGGTACATGGACTTTCACAAGAACTCAGAAGTCACTCACACACAAATACTCGAGTACTTAGCACAATGCTGGGCACATAAAAGATGCTCCGGAAACATCTTTGTAAAACAATTTTTTTCAATTCATGCCATTTGTTGGAAACCAACCAAACTTTGATAATGACTTGGGCAGTGGAGTTCTCTTCATCCAAGCCATCTAAATGGCTGTCACAAGAAAAATGATCAAGCCATGTTCATATCCCCAGCAAACTTGACGGCCCTTCTTACCACTAATAAAACTACAGACCACCTGACATGTTTTCTATGTGTTCTCTACTTTATGTATCTTATATTTCTAAATGACTTTATTATTTTAATTTTTATATATTTGGTAGCTTTCTTAGGATGTACGAAGATTGAATTCTCTGTTATATCACTTAATTTGCACGGTTTTGCATTTGGTACAGCTCTGGCCTGTGAAGAAGTTTAGGACTGTGATAATTAACTTTTGGATCCTGCCCAAGTTTCCCTAATCCTAATTAATGAGCATAACTCCTTAGTCCTTTGGCTCTTTCTCTTTTTTCTTTCCCCTTCCTGCCAGTTCTCCACACTGTTTTTCTCATCCTTTATGGTGAAGCAAGCCTTCTGATCACAGGTGTTTATTCTCTATCTTACACTGCATATGAGGACCCTCATCCCTTCCACCAAGCTCCTCCCTTTCACCCTAAACATGCAGCCCACATAAAGAAAATCTCCCAGGAGAGATGGTGATTCCTGCCCTTCCCCAGTTGCAGGTTAGGAATTCCAGGCCAAGCCAGCAGCTAATGTGTCTGTGATTCCCCTTCCCACAGGTGAAGAAGACCTGAGTGTGGAAGAGGATGAGGAAGTGCTGACTCTGTTGTATGACCCATGCCTGAACTGTTACTTTGACCCCCAGACTGGGAAATACTACGAGTTGGTGTAATCCCTCCTTCCAGGGCACAGAATGGCTACCCCCCATCGGAGAAGGGTGGCAGTTCAGTCTGCTAAGGAAGCACTACAAGTTGTGTGTTGAGCAGGCCCACGGAATCAGAGAAAAATGGATTCATTTTGTAAATAATGTTCGATGTTAAGGATTCCTACGTTCTTTTTGTAGATGTGTGTGATTTTGAAACTGTGACAGAATTAATATAGAGACAAGATTTTAGGACTTTGAATTGGTTCTTATTTGTTCATTCTCATCCTACATATAATTTTGTTTATTTCATATCATTTTACGTAAACGAATTAAGTTATTCATTTAAATTTCTTACAGTGTTATCTGTAAATGATGGCTTGATATACAGAAAATGTATTCTTGTTTAAAAGATGTCTGGGTACTTCTTATTTCATGACATATTTGTATTAAAAATAAAGTATGATCGTCAGAAGAATACCTTTTAAACTGCTTCTTTTTATTCACCCCACTTTTTTTTACCAGAATATTTCTAGATGATAGTTACTTTCCTTTGACTCTTAGAAAAAAATATATATATATGAACTGGTCAGACTTTATGATCACAATTTATTAGGACTAACCCACTATTTCTGTTTCATTGTAGTTCATCTAGAGTTTGCCAAAGATCACAATATTGTTAATCACGTAAGCTGCTTAGCACTGTACTTGGCCTTTTTTTTTTTTTTTCCTTTTTGTCTTTTTCCGTGACCGGCAACGGATCGCAACCCTCAGTGTCGCGCCCGTACTAGACCGGGACCGGCAACGGGATCGCAACCCTCGGTGTTGCACCCGCACCTCGCTCAGCCAGTGAGCGGCCGGTCTGTATGTGGGATATGAACCCTCGGCGGGAGCACCACCACGCTCCCAAGCGGCGCACTGTAGCAGTGCGCCACCGGGCCGGCCCTGCCTTTTTTTTTTTTTAATATTTTACCAATTATCTCTGAATTTTAATAATGTGGTCAAGTCTAGTTTCATGGATCCATATTTAGCAAGAAGTCACCCATTTGGGCACTGCTGTGCCTCACCACTTCTGTGACTTGGGCCTGTAGAAACCTGGGAGGCTTTCTTTGGTCTTTAACACTGTGTTAGTGCAACTCTGCTTGCTGCACCACAAGGAAAAAATCATGTGCTTCCTGCATTTGGGCGGATGGCCTTGTATTGTGTGCCAAGTACATTAATATTGAGCTCAAGGAAGTACTTACTATATTAGCTGGTATATTTTGTTATTTAATAAAGATTTTTAATAAAAAGGAGTATGATTGGAAATGAAAAATTATTGGTGTACAGTTGGATTTAATGGGTAGTACTATAATTTCATTTTATGTTTCTTGATAGAGGAAATAAGAGTTCTTTTTTTCAGGAGCAGATTTGGACTCCTGTTCAAAGAATCATACATTATTTAGAACCATGTTTGTGTTTGATAAGCTTTTAATCCTGTTGTTCACAAAGTGTACCTTCATTATGAATTTCTCTCCAAGATCTTCATACTTACAAAATGAAAATGAATAAATGAGGCTTCACAAAGCATGCAGAATGATAAATGAGTTGGATTATCTTGATTACGACCTTGAAGATTGGAGCAGGATGTGGAAGGCCTTGTTCCTGCTTTAAATAGTCTCAGGACCATGCACATAAGTAGAGGAGTCAAAAGTTTGTGTTACTTAAGGCTTGTAGTTACAGATATCAAAAACATCATATGCTACATTAAGGAGAAAAAACTTAAAGATACCTGAGTGCCTCATGAACCACAAAGCAATGCCATAAGGCCTCCAAATAGACTAAAGCTGGGACCTAGCAGACTATAGAGAGTTCTGTTGGGATACTTGAGTTGCAAGCAACAGACACCCTTGATCCCAGAATTCAAACACTTGCTGAATGATCAAGCTCCAGGAAGCACAGGAATCAATCAGAGCAGCTCCAGGGATCCCTATAGCAGTAACTAAGTAATCCCTATAGCAGTCATTTTTCATGACATTGGACCAAAAGGACAATGCCACCTTTCTCTGCCTCAGGTCTCTGCTCAAGGAACAAGAGGCTGGTAGGCTTGCCTTGGAATGGGAGTAAGATAGTCCCTGAAGGAGAACAGGACCACAAGAAAGGGGAGGGATGCCAGGCACACAAAAATGAGGAGGGAAGGCAGGTCCACAAAATGGCTAGGGATTCCAGGCACACAAAAATGACAGATGTCTATTCTGGGAGTCTAGACGTGCTGTCCCTGCCACTCATCTCTGATTCATTTTGCCATCTCTTCTCTCTTCTCTCTCTTTCTCTCTTTCCCCATAACTTGCCCAGCTATTCAGTCCACCTGCCAGGACATCCAACCACACAGAAATATTAACTCTGAATTTCAATTCAAAAATCCCAGAGTTGGGATTGCAATTGGCCAGTTTGGTCCAATGGCCATCAGGACTCTCTTCCGGGGATAGGGGAGGAAGGCAGTTAAGGAGTGTCTACCACAAAGTCTTATTATTCCACTTTTTACATTTCATTTGCCTTTTTTAAGGGGATGGATTCATTTCTGTTGAGATTTCTACAAAAGAGTTGAAAAATAGAAATAGATCTGCTTCACACTGCCAGTGTTAAGGCGAAATGGTGCAGCCAATTTACTTGGTAATTCATTGACTTGGCTATACCTTTTCACTGGTTATCGAATTTTGCTGCATATTAGAATCTCCTAGGAAGTTTATTAAATACTGACATGTAGGTTCCACATCTAGAGAGCCTGATTTGATTGATTTCAGGTGTAGCCTAGCCATTGGGAATTTTTAAAACCTCCCCCACCAATTCTAATATGCAGTCAAGGCTGAGAGCCACTGCTATGGATTAGATTTGACACGTTTGCCTAATGGCATATGTACCTGTGGGGAAGAGTCTATATTATTAATTTCCTTTTTAAAGACCTTAATTTCTACTTTTCTAATCAAATGTGTACCCAACATTCATATCTGGAACTGACTATTGCAAATGGATACTACAAAAACAGATTGATTCAATATGGAAATACATCTTAAGACAATTTTGTATAAATTTTGGGAATGCTTCAAATAGTTTCTTGTTTCATATAATCAGGATGCAACTTATGAGTGACTTTTAAGTCATCAATTTCTAAATTATTATTTAATTACAAAGACTGATTAATGGGAATTATGGAAAAATAACCATCTGAGATACATGGCATCAGATCAATGATTTAGCTTTCCTGGCAATTATAAGTTCTTGCTCTCTCCAATTAATTTTATTTTATTTTTTATTACAGGAAAATACTGACATATATGAAATAGACACTTGCAAAATGCCTTGCCCTACTGTATTTCTCCATACTTTTAGATTAGCTTCATTTAAATGTCATTTCGACCACATCTTGATTTTTTTTTTTGAAATGCAAACTGTGTTTAATAACTGAGAATAGTGTACAACCCAAAGAACAATTAATTAAAAGAACTTAATTTTAAAGTTGTCATTTGGCTTTAATTAAACATCCAGCTGCTGAAAGTTTCTGGACCATTCTTTTTTAAAAACAGCAGAATGACAGCAAGCACAGTACCCAAACTTCGTTTATTTCAGGTTTTGTCCTGTGACTCTCAATCATCAATCAAAATGGCCAGAATAATGAAAATTAAGAATCACCTACCCACATGTGGTTGATATCATAGGATTTCTATTTTATACATCATTCATTTTGCATTCCAGAAAAGTTAGACATAGAGAATTCTTGTCAAGCAAAGCCTATTTTCTCTTTTTCTCCCATTATAACAGTTGAGATAGAATCACCTAATTGGGCCTAAAAAGTACAATAAAGATGATTTCTTTAAACTTTCTGATTTTATAATTGAGAAAAGTGAGCTTCAGACTGGGAAGTTAATTGTCCAAAGGCACTCTGTCACAGAGGGGAGGATGGAATCCATAATTCCTCACTTCTGAACCAGTTCTTTTCCCTCCCAGTGGAAATTAAGATGAGGACTCAAGTGACAGATTTAGCTGGACATCACAGACCCTGTACAGAGGTCACCAGAGGACACTAGCACCCTGCCAGGAGTTTGGGATGTCTGGTTCTCACTTAGCATTTTCTTCTCTTTTGCCCTGCAGATTCATTCTTCCCTCAGTTGTCAGCCTTTACACCTCAAAGATCTGCATTTTCCAACATGTGTTCCAAGAAGCAGAACTTTCATTACATGTTAATAAGTGCACTGGGAGTGAGGAAGAGGTCTGTGGTCAAACAAAGGTAGAAAGTACTGGAGAAGTGGAAGTGGTCATTTGTCTTTACTGGAGTAGTTCTCAATGGCTTTAATAGACTAACAGGTACAGGGATTCTCCAAGGGAGGAGTGGAATATAAAGGTCTTCTCAAAGTTATTTGTCTACAAATCCTTTTTTCTGTAGAGCATCTCAAGGATCTTAGCCCACAGAACCTCCTTTGAGAAATACTGCTGTAGATGACTTCCCCATAGTCTGGGAGCCCTGACTTCCAACAGAACTCACACAAATGTGTCTCCCTAGTTTGTTTGTTTGATTGGTTGATTGGTTAGATGGGTTGGTCGGTCGGTTGGTTGGTTGTTTTTAATCCGTGTGTGTGTGCACACACACACGCTCATGTGCACACATATATGTTAGTGCTTGTGTTTTTGCGGGGGGTGTTGGGGGTTGCTTTTTGTTTGCCCAGATATTCTACAGACCCCTGACCAGGCTGTAACAACATTATTCTTTAGATTCACTTTTCATCCAAAACAAAGTGTGCTGAAGCCTGAACATTCCCTAAGTCTGAGCCTTTGGTCACCTACAATGAAGAAATTTTCTTTCTCATATTTTAAATTATACAAATTTATAACTGTAGGTAATACAGTTAATGTGTAACAGAGGATAAATCTAAGTGAAAGTTCATTCATCTTGAATATTGGAGCTTTACATCTTAATGAAAATTTTGGTTCTGGTTTGCGTGGTTTTAATATAATTTAGAATCACATTAAGTCAAAATAATTTGACTTATAAGAATTAAATGACCAATAAACATGGGCCACAGATAACACTAATTTTAACTGCTGACACATTCTCCTGTAGTTAATCACCTGTAATTCCATGAAGCATTACAAAAGTGAAGTGTGGGAAATGGTATTGATTGGTTTTCATCAGCCCAACTTATCATTGTCAATGTTTATGCTGAACCTGGCAAGATTTAAGCATATAAACTTGCTCCAAATAGTAGTAAGTATTGTCAATATTTTAACCTGTGGAACAGGGGGAATTATCTCTAATTTGCTCTATTGGATACTTCCAAAGGCTTGGGGGGAAGGATACTCTTGGGACCTTAATAATTGAGATAAGCAAAATCATCTGGGAATATTTGGCTTAAGAAGTCCAGGAGGGGAAATTACTCTTCATTAATTTCTGTTAATATGCTGTTCTGAAATATAATTTGTATTAATGATGGAGTGTCAATACTCTA